GACACCTACTGTCATCTACTGACATCTACTGGCATCTTCTGACACCTACCGTCACCTACTGACATCTACTGACACCTACTGTCATCTACCGTCACCTACTGACATCTACTGACACCTACTGTCATCTCCCGTCACCTACTGACACCTACTGACATCTACTGACACCTACTGACATCTACTGACACCTACTGTCACCTACTGTCACCTACTGTCACCTGCCCTTACCTAATTTGACTTCTACTGACTTCAGACTCTACTGATTGTATCTATAATAACTACTGAATCTATTGATTGATTGATTATTGTCTGTTCCCAGAATCCAAATCTGACGATTCTCAGAAAAACTCTGGGCGGTCAGGAGGAGGAGGAGCAGGAGGAGGAGGAGCAGGAGGAGGAGGAGGAGGAAAACGAGGAGGCCGTAGGGACGACTGGTATGACCGTCTGCAGAAGGTCAGTGTGGGTGAAGAAACGATGAGTTCAGCTGGTCAGACAGCTGTGATCTGATGTCACGTTGTTTGTTTCAGGGGGACGTTCCCTGGGACAGTAAAGACTTCCGGTTGTACTTCCTGAGCGCAGCAGCCTTCTGGTCGGCCGTTGCCTATTATTTCTTCTTCAGGGATGGAGGTCGAGAGGTCACCTGGAAGGACTTTGTCAACAACTACCTGTCCAAAGGAGTGGTGAGGACAGTGTCACAGTAACGCTTACCCAGATGTTTCTTATCTGACAGTCTGTATAAATGAACATTAAACAATCGATAAACACACATTAAACAAACATTGAATAAACAATAAATGAACAGATGTTACAGCAGTTGACAGGATGTGTTCGGTCCCTCAGGTCGACCGGTTGGAGGTGGTCAACAAGCGTTTTGTCAAAGTGGTTTTCTCTGCTGGGAAGACGCCAGTGGACGGGGTGAGTGTGTTCACTTCATAGTTCTTTCAAATCCAGTTTATTGTTTAAATCATCACTTTGTCTCCCAGCAAAGTGTCAATGCGTCTGCGTCAGTGTGTCTGTGCGTCAGTGCATCTGCGTCAGTGCGTCTGCGTCAGTGCGTCTGCGTCAGTGCGTCTGTGCGTCTGTCCGCTGTGTGTCAGTGCAACAGAGCTCAGAGAGACTGAGTCTGTCAGAGGAGTCTGATTGGTTGTTAAAGTTGGCGGTCTGAAGCATTGGCTGTGTGTGTCTCTCAGCAGTACGTGTGGTTCAACATTGGCAGCGTAGACACGTTTGAGAGGAACCTGGAGACGGCGCAGTACGAGCTCGGCATCGAGGGCGAGAACAGACTGCCGGTGGTTTATTCCACTGAGAGTGACGGGTGAGGACGGGCGGCGGCGGCAGCACTTTATATTGGTACGTACCGCATCTCTGTGATCTAATGTTCGTCCTTCCTCCACAGAACCTTCCTATTGAGCATGCTCCCCACCGTGCTCATTATCGGCTTCCTGCTCTTCATGCTGCGGCGGGGCCCTGCGGGGGTGGGGCGTCCCGGCCGTGGGATGGGTGGGCTGTTTAGTGTCAGCGAGACGACGGCGAAGGTCCTGAAAGACGAGATCGACGTCAAGTTCAAGGACGTGGCCGGCTGCGAGGAGGCCAAGCTGGAGATCATGGAGTTCGTCAACTTCCTGAAGAACCCCAAACAGTACCAGGACCTGGGCGCCAAGATCCCAAAGGTGAGGGCGGGTCCAGTCTGCGCTCGCTGTGCGCCGCCGCTGTGCGTACTTCCTGCTGATTGTTTGCTGTGTGTGCAGGGAGCCATCCTGACGGGGCCTCCAGGAACAGGAAAGACTCTTCTGGCCAAAGCGACGGCAGGCGAGGCCAATGTCCCATTCATCACCGTCAACGGCTCAGAGTTCCTTGAGATGTTCGTGGGCGTCGGCCCTGCCAGGGTGAGCAACACGGGGCACACTTCCTGTCTGTGCTCGCCCTGCAGGGACATTCATATTAGATACTTACAATTTTCACTTCGGAAACTTTTATTTACTATTAAAATATAAATAAAATCAAGTAGCCGCAATGGAAGCTAACGACTGTTGTTGCTGATGATGTCATATCCTGTGCAGGTCAGAGATCTGTTCGTCATGGCGAGGAAGAACGCCCCCTGCATCCTCTTCATCGACGAGATTGACGCCGTGGGACGCAAACGAGGACGAGGAAACTTTGGAGGACAGAGCGAGCAGGAGAACACGCTGAACCAGCTGCTGGTGGAGATGGACGGTGGGTGACGGGAATCATGGGAAAAAAAATACAAACATTTTAAAATAACTTTATTGAACAGCAGTCAGAGCAACGTCACAGGAGGTCTCACTCGTCTCGGTTCTTTCAGGGTTCAACACGGTGACCAATGTTGTGGTTCTAGCAGGAACCAACAGACCGGACATCCTGGACCCGGCTCTGATGAGACCAGGACGCTTCGACAGACAGATTTACATCGGTGAGAACAAAGCCACCAGCGTCCATTCATTTTTCTCTTGTTTTTATCTCAGGGTAACGATGTTGACTGGTGTCAGTGTGACAATAGTAATTGTTTATATTATATATAGGGGTGCACGATAATTATCGGCCCGATAACAGGAAATTATTACGTCATACCGATAAGTCCGATATCATGACGAATAGCCC